GCTAATAATATAGTATTAACTTTCATCAAGTGATGTAATGTATAAAAATGGATAAATATTGCAATGGACGTGACATTACAGTGAAATGACGTGTGAAAATGGTGAAATAGCGTGTGAAAAAAATGCTACGATGTGATTGAATAGAATAATCTATTATTATCAAACTAGTTTCTTGTGAAAATTTATGTGACATAAATAAACAGTAAACCTCACATTCTATAAGGAAGGATAAGGAGGGTAAAAAAATATTAACCTAAAAATTTGTAAGTATAAATATTTAGATATAATTAAATATTAATAAAAAGATTACACCATCTAAAATATAAAAAGTTACTTATAGATAAAAAAAAATTACTTCAAATTATTTAAAAGTAGTAAAAAAATTACATTTGTAAAAGCTACTTATTTATAGATAAAAAAATATTAACTTTAACATTTTCAAGTAGATATTTAGATATATTTTTTTAAATTAAATATTTATTAATAAAAAAATAACTATATAAATAAAACTAACAAAAAATTATCACCACCCTATGCACGGAGTGGTTACAAATGGAGAGTTCTCACCTTTTGAAAAGTCAAAACTTTTTCTCTCCTTTTGACATTTCAAAAGGAGAGATTCTCTCCGTCCAATGAGAGATTTTTTTTTAATTTAATATTTTCGATTTTAATTATAATATTATTTTATTTGTTTAATCTTTATACATTCTTTATGATAGAACGACATTCGTTAAATTTGAAATTAAATAATATTTATTTTTTCCTTAAATCATTTTAATTTTATTTAAAAACTTTATAATAATTTCTTTCTATTTTTGTCTGTAATTTTTTTAAATAATCTTTATATTTAATTTCGTTTATTTATTATATAATATATAGTATTGTCTTTAATCAAGTGAAGTAGTGTGTGAACATGTAGAAATATTGTAGTGGAGGTAATGTCGTAATGAAACGGCGTGTGAAAATGGTGAAATAGAGTGTGAAAAGAATGCTAGAGCGTCATTGATAATTTACTGTTGCAAAACCAATTTCATATGAAAATCTATGTGACAAAAATGAATAGTAAACCTTACATTCTCTCTTTTAAAATAAAGAGAGATTATGCTTTAGGCTTGATTTAGACTGAAAATCGACATGTGCCGGATTGATAGAACTATTGGGCTCATGCCGATTAAGCTTGCGGGTGGGTCGGTTCAGGTTAGCCCATTCTGACATGTTCGAGTTTCGCACCAAAACCATTTAAGCAAACTAGAACTTAAAAGCATGCGTCTAACTTTGTTTAATAAAGTTCTATTCATTCTTTTAGTTATTCTATTTTGTTGAGGTGTATAAGTGACAATTTTATATCTCAAAATACTATGTTCTTTATAGAAATTATTGAATTCATAATTGCAAAATTCCACACTATTATCAGTCATCAAAGTTTTAATTTTGTGATCAATTTGACTTTCAACTTGAGTTTTCCAATCCTTGAAAAGGGAGAAAGTGACATCTTTAGTTTTCAATAAGAAAACCCAATTTATTTATTAATATTATTTTTTTTTGAAAAGTCATCAATGATCAACAAGTAATATCTGAAACCAGATAAAGTGTACACAGCAGCAAGACCCCATAAATTAGCATGTAAATATTCAAGTGTTTGTTTGGATTTATGAATTCTCGTTGGAAAATGTAATTTGACTTGTTTTCCTATAACACATTGTTCACAATGATCAAAATTATCAAAATTTAATTTTCCAAAAATTCCTTTTTTTTTTTTTGTAAAGAGTTCAAACTCTTTTTACCAATATGGTAAAGTCTTTCATGCCACAATTTTGCAAGTGTAAAATTCTCAAATAAAGTAGAAGCAATCAAATCAAGTAAGGGTTTAGCTTTCAAAAAAAAGAGGCGCTGTCTCTTTGGGGTGCTTATGTTTAAATCATTGCCCATAAGAATTTTAATGTGTTCTTGAACCAAATTTATGTTAAACTCCACGTCATCTAACATGCTTAAGGATATTAGATTCCTCTTTAAATTAGGAACATATCTTATTTCTTTCAGGAATATTCTAACAACAATTTTATTGTCCATGTTCAACTAACCTTGAAAGTTTCCCCATTATAACTTGCCCGCCAAAAGTTTTTTCAAAATCAAGAAAACAGTTTTTATTTGGACACGTGTGGAAATAACAGCCTCAGTCAAGTATCCATTCATCACTAAGTTTCTTCCCCGTATTAACAAGGACTAAACCATTTTCAATCTTAGCTTTATTATAAACTAGGGCAGCACTCCCATCACCAAACTTCCTTTATTTGGAATCATTTTTCTTCTTATAGCAACCTTTAGCAAAAAGTCTCAATTTCCCATAGTAAAAACATTTCTTGCCTTTAGCATTATTTTTGGACTTATTTTTAACGCTCGACTTTTTTTTTATTTTTATTAAAATACTTGGAGTGATTATTAGATCTACTAAGAACTTTTTCTTTTGCAAAAAAATTATCAATGGTAAGTTCTTCCCTGCCATATCCTAGAAGAACCTTGATGTCTTTATGTCTGTCATTAACGAAGTTTAAAAGGATTGTAGCCATATAATATTTTGAAAGTGTTTTTTTTTTATCAATGTTAACTATGTCTTGGACAAGTTTTGTAAATCTCTTAAATTTTTCGTCCAAGTTGATTGAAGTATCCATTTTAAATGAAAAGAATTGTTTCAATAGAAAACTTGTAGTAGTTTTAATCATATACTTGGACTGAACTTTAGTCCACAGTTCAGAAGCAGTTTTGATTTTACCTACTCCTCCATGCATCTTCTTCAAGTTCAAATCTCTCTACAGGAATCATGTCAGTAGGGCAACTATCATCTAATACTTTAACACATTCCATTTGTATTTAAATAGCCTTCATTTTCTGACACCAAATATTAAATTCAAAATTTCCATCAAATAACTTCAAACTTAGCAATGTCCATTTTCCTAATAAAAATGAAACACAAGTTGAAGACAATACCTACAAAGAATAACAATATTCAGCTTAGTGTTAATTGAATCACAGTAGTACGAAAAGTAAAACAAGATTTCACAAGTTTTGTAAATTTCAAGCATATTCAGAGAACATGTCGGCCAAGATCAAAAAGAAAACACAGTGACAAAGATCACGGTACTACGTTTCAAAGATTCCTCCTATAAGGTCTTCCCTATGCACACGTTTGTCTCAGATTCTCAAGGACTCGTAGGAGCCTTTGGACAAAAATTAGTCTCAAGGAGGTTCTCAGTGTACAGAAAATCAAGGAAAAATCAAGAAACCCTAATTTCTGAAAAGGAAAGTTTACAAAAAAATTAAATATCTTACCCAACGAGTTCATACAAAGTGTTTTCTTTCGGTTTTGCATAAAAACAGTTTCAAAATTTTCAAATATGTAGTAGATCAGACACTTTCTTCTCGAATCCAAGTATCTTGCTACTCAGTAATGGCTCTGATACCACTGTAAGGCCAGATTCATACAATATCAGTTTTGAGAAACAAGATAAATTGATCTTACAGAAAGTAAATGTGCAGAAATTAAAGATCGAACACGAGAATTATTTTGGCCGAAACCTTGGAGGTTTGGAGACCATTTCTAACACTTACATCTCCTTTGAGAATTCAATAAATTGGATTAAATAGCCCAAAATGGTAACAAGGGTTACAAGAGTTTTAACCAATAAAACAGAGATAGCATAAAAACACTTATCTCTCAAGAACAACATCCGATCTATGAATAATCACCAAGAATTGTCCCAAAACTCCTCTGAAAATAACAACTCATAAAAACCCTCTTGTTCTTACAAATGTCCACTCGAAATATTAAAAAAAAGAGGCTAAACATCATAGATTACAGTTCTTAAATCATAAATTTCAGAGACAAGAACCAAAGATGAAACCTTGGTAGTAGAGATTCTCCTCCTCATTTTCTCTCTCTAAAACCAACAGCTAGGAGATAAATTTATCGATTCAGATGCCAAATGAAATAGCATACAAGAGATAAAGCCCAAGAATCATCCCGAAACAATAGCCAATGGTCAAGATTAAAGCCATGTGTCGTAATTCAGTAAAAATCGTCTTTACTAATAAAGTAGCAGTTCAGAGATGCGATTTTTGCTCAAATCCTGGAAGCACACATACAGGGTACGAATCCAACACCATCGCGTCTACAACTAAGAAACCATTTATTTTTTCTTTTCCTTTTCAGTGAAAAGATAAAAAAAAATTCCCATGTTCGATCGCAACATTTGAGGACCTTTCATATATCTCAAGATAATTTGCCCATGTTTGGTTTTGATTAAAATTTGATTTTAATCTAAGTCAAAGTCAAACAATCAATATCAACCACATCTTTTATGAGTCTCACAACTTTTCAAAAATTTCTATCACAATCTATAAGAAAATTTAATTTTAATTTCCACTAAACATCCTTTATGGATTAGTAACCTCTGTTTGTTATTTTTTAACAAATTAAATTGTTTGTTATAGTGACATTTTTAATCACACATTCACAATATTATATTCTACATACAAATCAATAAAGTTTTTTTTTTATTTTAACAACATATTTTTCAAAAAGTACTATTCAAAACTCCATAATTTCTCCTATAATGAGAGATATAAAGGCTCTAAATAAATTACTAGTCGCTATAATATTAATGTTGCCCTACTAAAATCTAAATCCAAATAAAAGAACAAGATTTGGGGCAAATCCCTTCTCCTTGGCAATAAATTTAGCTAAGCGTGCATATATAAATTTAATAATTGAAGATGGAAAATACTGTTGAACTAACAGCAACTACCTAAACTGAAAAACATAGTAAGGGCAGTGATATTCAAACAGGGACCTGTGTGAAAAGTGCCAAATGCCCCTGTTTGAATAGAATTATTCAACATGGTAATTCTGAGTTCCGGAAGATTCGTACGTGGTTGCTAATATTCACCAACCAAATCTCCTTTCTTTTCACATTTTCAAACAGTATCCTAAGAAATAAAGAAATATCACATGAAAAGTCCAAAAAAACAAAAACCCAAAACAAAAACTCAGACACACCTGACCTGCCGTTTTCCTTCTGGGTTCTGTCCTTTTTTCCCCATTATTCAGCCCTTCTTCTTCTACTTTTTGCTTCCCTTTTTCTAGGTTTTCAGCTAGAATTTCTTGATCATGCTTTTAATCCGATCGATTAGATAGGATTTTTACAAGTTTGGGGGGAATGGGTGTTTGTTATTCTTCGATTAATGGCAAGAAAAAGAGAGTGTGGGAGAAAGAATATGGTACAGATTTAAAGTTAAGGAAGGGTAGTTCTAGTGATTTTTTCACGTTTCTCAGCAAATTAAGTGGCGGCGGCGCCGTTGCAGCGGCGGAGAAGGGAGTACTTCATCGAGTTCCCGGCAGGCTTTCCGCAAATGGTGCAAGCCGGATCGCTAGTTTGTACACTCAGCAAGGCAAGAAAGGTACCAATCAAGACGCCATGATTGTTTGGGAGGTCAGTCAAATTTAATATGGTTCACATGAATTTCTATTTGCAAAATAAGACATCAAGAACCGTGATTTTCTAATATTATAATGTTAAATTTAGCTGTAGTTAGCAAATATGGAAGTTATGCTTTGTGTGACTAGATAAATTAACTTCTTGCCTAGCACTGTCGAGGTTTTTTTGCTTTGTTTGACCTTATGAAGAACTGAAAAGATGATGGGATACTACTCTTTACTATTTGGGTCAGTTTATGATTTGCTTGGATTGTTTCTCCGGTAGAATTTCTGTACGAGAAGCGGTATGAGTACGACATTTTGTGGAGTTTTCGATGGTCATGGTCCTTATGGTCATATGGTCGCAAGGAAAGTTCGGGATGCTCTTCCGCTTTTGCTGCGTGCAGAGTTGGAAGGTAAACACGATAGGAATCAAACTTCTGATCAAGAGAATGGCAATGCCCTGGAAATGACTCATTTTGATGAGTTTAAGGATGAAGACAAGGACGAGTTATTGGATGATGGGCAAAATGAAAATCTTCCGGAGATGCATATGCCAATCAAGAGATCAATTTTAAAGGCTTTCCAAATAATGGATAAGGAATTGAAGTTGCATTCTACCCTTGATTGTTTCTGTAGTGGTACAACTGCTGTCACTTTGATAATGCAGGTAAATCTTTGTTTAATTTTTGGTTTTGCTGCATCGTTGGATAATGAGAGTGGTTTTTAGATATGTCCCTTTCTTGGCTCTCCTGTTATTTATCTAATTATTTTGTTGTGTTGAATTTGTGCTTGCCTCCGTCTTTGGCATGCTATAGCCTATAGAACAATAGTCGTATGTCCTTTTTAAGCATCGTGAAATCTGTGTGATTTTTGTTGAGTCAGTTCCGTAGACTGTAAAGGCATCCATATTTGGTAAATCAGAGTCTAAAACTTAAAATTTCGGCACTCCAACAAGATACAGAAAATTGACCATTTCGTTGTGCTGTATAGTTGTACTTTTCAGGACTATATGGAACTACGTATCTTAGTTTTGAACTACTTATGATCTCATTTTCGCTACCAAGGAGCTCACAGAGCTCAGGGAATGATGTGATGCTATTGTTGAACATGGCAATTAGTATCGTGAAGAGTACATTTTCAAAAGTAAAGACTTAGAAAAAGTAGATTTTTGAACTGAAAATCTAAGGAAAAAGGTAACTTCTGAAAAACGTCATACCTGTTTCGCTAGGAAAAATTAGTTAAAATTAACTTTAAAGCTTAGCCAAACTGCATGCTCAAGAGTCAAGACAGAAGAAAATTGTGAATGATGACCAATGTTTTCATCTCCTCATTCCAGCCCCTTGGTCTTGTTGCGCAACCCTCACCACAGCTATTATCACCTCCACCATAGTACAGATTTTCTTTAGATTTAACTCATCATAACACCTCACCTGTTAGATGGCGTTTTGGGGGAATCTTGGGCATGCTACAAATCTTGACATGTAATTAATAAGACTAATCCCTTACCTTGTCAAATTGATGCTTTTAATATCGGATGATTGCCACTTTCTTGACCTGGATATTGTTGAGATATATGGTTAATCTAAGAAACCTTAGATTATTTCAGTCACACACCTTTGATTTGATTTATATGTAATTTTAAAAATATTTTAAGTTATATCAATCCTTGATCGCTTTTGTACTAAAAGAGGATATGAACCAATCATATATGGTATTAACTATCATGAACATGATTTTCCAGGATCAGGATCTCATAATTGGAAATGTTGGTGATTCAAGAGCAGTATTAGCAACGAGAGACAAGGACAACGCGTTGATGGCTGTCCAGTTGACCGTGGACTTAAAACCTAATCTTCCAAGTATCTCTCTTTATCTTTTTCCTCTGTTTCCCTACACACCTGCATGATAAAAACAATGTTGGTCACTCATACTTGCAGCGATTTTTCAAGTTAGACACCAAATTTTATATTATTTCAAGTGATTATTGAAGTTTTCTTTTTTGCTTCAATTGGAATTGGGTCACTCATTGAAAATCTATTAGTTTTTTTTGACGGTCTGATGAGGCTTCAATACGGAGGTAAACTTTAATCACCACCTTTTATTTATTTATTATTTTTTTTTTTTTCAAATTTTAACTGAGTGACCAAACTGAAGTAAAAGGTAAACTTTAATCACCACGTTAGAACAAAGTTTGGTGACTAACTTGAAACTTTGCTGTGAATGGGGGGACTAACAGTTTTTTTTACGCCACACTCACAATATACATCGAAAATGCTGATAGCAAGAAGAAATCCAATGAAACATTTGAAATTTAATTTTTGTTAAGACTTTCACATCCTGCTGTCCTGGCCAACATAATATTTATACACGAACTACCCTAAGGTGGTGATAGAACTAAAAATCGTGACCTCCTTTTCTTTTTCAGGAGAAGCTGCAAGAATCCAGAAATGTGAAGGAAGGGTTTTTGCATTGCAAGATGAGCCGGAGGTTGCACGTGTATGGTTGCCTAACAGTGATTCTCCTGGTTTAGCAATGGCCAGAGCCTTTGGGGACTTCTGTTTGAAAGATTTTGGTTTAATTTCTATGCCAGATGTTTATTATCACTGTATTACTGAAAGAGATGAGTTTGTCATTCTCGCCACTGACGGGGTATTATTTTCTTATCTCTTGTTATCAGTTGTTAATGTTGATCTCCCATCTATCTCCATGTAGCTATTTGATGTTTATTGCTTTAACCTTGGATGTCATTATAAAGGCTATTTATATTGAAATAGGTATGGGATGTCCTCTCCAATAAGGAAGCTGTGGACATTGTGGACTCGGCTCCTAGTCGTGGAACAGCTGCTCGAGCTCTTGTTGACTGTGCTACGAGAGCATGGAGGCTCAAGTACCCAACATCAAAGATGGATGACTGTGCCGCCGTATGTCTTTTCCTCGAACACTCCTCATCAACTGATACTGTTAATGCACCAAACATTGCAACGAAACCCCCTGAACAGGAATTGAGTAAAGTCCTTGCAGAGGAGGAACCGTCTGAACAGGAATCTGGTAATGTCCTTGCGGAAGAGGAACCCGATATCTCAATTATTGATGAGGCTTTTCAAGATGCTCCTGTCGATGGTACTAAATTGTCTAGTGAGATAGTGCCTGTTGTCGAGGAAGTCGCAGAGAAGCTACCCGAGAGATCTCTTAGTCAATCTAAGAGGAGTTTAGCTGAATTCCTTTCGACTGCAGAGGACGAGGAATGGTCGGCCCTTGAAGGTATTACCAGAGTTAATAGTCTGCTAAGCATTCCAAGGTTCTTATCCTGGGACAAAAGATCATTGAGTAGGAGAAAGTGGTTATGAAACAATTTTAATATGTAAATGGTATAATGCTGACAGTGAGTAAAGTGCTATCATTTATCTTTTGCTCTATAATAAAGCCTTTACTTGGTGCGCATTGGAAATGACAGGACAAGATGATGAAGAAAAAGGTCGAAAGTTGTCCATTATACTTCATAGTACGGTTTAATAATGTGTAGTAAATATACATTCGAAGATGGTCAGTCCGAATCTGATAGCTTTAAAATTATCGATTTGGAGTTAGTTGCATGAATTTCGGTCTGATGGGAATTTTTGTATATACGTTTTATGAATAGCTTAAATATTTTAAACGATCAAATTGCCTTTTGTTGCTAGCAATGCACTAAATTATCTTAATACTCTGGCTAGGTGTTTGGTACATTAAAGTCAGCTGCACTAAACATGGGCGGAGCCAAGAAATTTGTTCAGTACGGGCATAATTTAACCTGTGTCGAACATTGTGTTTTGGTCATAAATTTAATAATAATAAAATTATAAAACAAAATCATGAGTTTAGACCTAAAAATAAAACCAATGTAAATTAAAATATATTTTTATTTCACCTCTCCTGTTGCTATATATATAATAAAAAAATGGTTAATAAAATTGTTTGGGCCTAAAATTTCAGTGGCTCCGCCACTGGCACTAAATGCGTAATGTTATTCATCGCCACCAACGATGAACACCAGTTTATGACAATTAAATGACATTATATGATAGATTCATTTAAATGCAAAGTCATTATTCATTTAATTAACTTATAAAGTGTAACCACTTGAATTAGTGCTCTAGCATCGCTCGTATTCGTACTAAATTAGATAAGAAATGAACAAACATTTAACATATGTTTTATTCTTAATTTTGTTTAGTCTAATATATCAAAAATGTCGGAGAGTACGAGGATGTCTTTGTTAATTTTCTTTAGAATGAAGTCTCGTGGGCAAAACATTTACCCATTGGATCAAGAAAAGTAGAAGTTGGGCCCTCTGGTAGGTCTACCCAATCAATAAAAATATTGGATCAGGAAAAATCGTATTGGGCCTCTGCGTTACGAGTCCAAAATGGAATCTAACTGTAGGAAGTGGAACGAAAAAGGTATTATTTTGTGTGAAGTGTGAAACTTACGCTTTTAGGTGAAAAGGTAGTCGTCGTTGACTGCAAACGACTTTAAGTCTAAGCGTTTCTTTTTGCTCTAATTTCATTAGTCGGCTTTTGCCGTATTCTGCGCCTCACCTTGAATGTTCCAATCGTATTGATAAAGACGGAAGAATTAATGCCCTATTTTGGCTTTATTATCCATTTACAATTCTTCGTCCATTTTCTTCAATTATTCTCATCTTTATGCTGTTATTACTGAACTTACGGTATTCGTAGCAAGCTGATCCTTAAAAATCGTTCAAATCTTGCTAAACTATCTCTTGCCATTCACGAAAATGTGTCTTGCTTAAATTTTCGCGTACTAGTTTAAATTGAAAAGTAAAATTAATTTCATAAATTAAATGTACTGGCACGTGACAATTTAACATAAATTTGGTTAATTTTTGTCAATAGAGACGGATTAAGGATCATTTGCTCGTTTTCAAAACGATATAAATGTTTTCCCTATCGAAAATGAGAGAGAGAAGAAAGAATCTTTTGTTAGAAAATAAGGAAAATTGGGGCACATTATTTTGTTTGATATATATGTGAGCACAAATTAGTCAAAATTTTGAAAGAGACACGATTGTCCAGGTGAAAAATTAGAACAAAAATACAATTTTTCTATTGGAAAAAAAAATAAAAGAGAAATGATTTTAGCATGAAGAACTATGATAAATTGGATAAAAATTTTAATCATCAAAATTATCGAACTAAGAATATATGTATACTTTGTATTTTTATTTTTTGGTTTGTAATTGGTCTAATTTGCATGACAAACCTAACAAGACCATTCAAGATGTTACGCACTTTTGTTGTAAAAAATAAAATAATAAAAAAATGATTGTGTTGCTACATAATTATATTAAGTGGGTTTGACAAAGTCTTTGATAAAAAAGAAAAAAAATTAGATGATTACGATTTAAAATTTTATAAAATATGTGGTTGAAAAAGTTAATAATAATTGTGAATTCCATAAAAATATGTCGTTAAAATTGTTAAATTTTACATCAATTGTTAGCCTTTTTTAAGTTTTCATAAACAAGTAATAAACTTGATTTAATAAAATATTTAAAAAAAATGCAAACAATAGTTTAAGATAATCTAAATTATGCTTGAAATTAAATAATGCTATGTGACCTGACTAGAATTGTAATCACGATCTAAATGATAGATTAAATAAAATATGAAATTAAATAATTTATTTAATTTTACTTATCATCCAATGTCACATTAGCACCAATTAGACTGGAGAATCCAGCGAGATTATATAGTATTACTCGAAATAAAATTGTGTTTTACTTAATCAAGTTATTAGAATCATGACATTTGGCATTCCATAATTGATGATTGAGCGAGTGACTTTACAGAAGAACAAATGTTCTTAAATTATTGGCTAGCTTGTCTCGTCACATCGCATCAAATTTGCACTTAAACCCCACTTTGGGAACTTGAAATTTTGTGTTCATGAGAACTTATTCTTTAAATCACATCTTATTCGCTCGACTATTGTAGTGGTATACTGGTATCGAGCTTTTGTCTGTCCTGGCTAGGCAATTGACCATGCGAGAACGACTTATGTTTTTATTGTCTCGATGACAATCAGTTTTGACTAAACTCTTCTATTTTCATCGACGAACACATGGGATTCTGGGGTCACTTGATTCCCAACTTTTGAGATTTTTTTTTTTTTAATAAAGTTATGTTTGGTATAGATTAAATCTAAATTAAATTTAACAATTAATTTTAATAGAATATTTCATGAGACTCGTAACTTTTTAACTCTTATCAAAATTTACTAAAAGTCTGATTTTAATCTGCATCAAACAGATGCAAAATCATGATAAATTTGAACTTTTTCTCTTTTCTGTTTCTCTCTTGCGACTCTCTCCTTCAAGCGTTTTATCGAAATCTTAACTCTTCTAATTTTTTAGTTTTTTATTTTTCAAAAAATTGTCTACAATTTTTATATAAATGATCACTTCTACTACAAATCTTTACTTCAATCAAACTTTCAACTAATTATAACCTAAATTTTCATTTTTTCCCCTTGTATATATAGAATGAATTTAAAATATTATGTCCAGTTTGACGAATCATGTTTATTCCAATGATTATTAGTATTTAATATTTGTTATATGTTTTTCCCCCTTTCAATTACTTGAATTGATCGTTTTAATTGATTTTTTGTATCAAAATTTCAAATACAATATAAATTCTTTAAATGTAAATATAAATTTTCTTGTCCTAAGCGAAATATAATAAAAAGATTGTTCGAAATCAAATGAATGAAAATGATGACCAAAATATTAATGAAATGATTTTTCAAGTGTAAACCTTCGTTTTTCGAGTCAAGTATGAATTATTTAAAAATCAAAAATAAAATATTTCGATCCGTTCAAGGTTTGATTATACTATCTAACACAAAACGTCTTTATTCGTTGATGTTTGTTATGATAAAAGTTAGACACGATATAATCTCGTGGGGTATATACATAATCATTTGGCTCAAATTAGACAACAAAGTTAATTATTTTTTAATGATAAAAACAATTAAATTTATATGAGCATTTCGTACACCATTCAAACACGACCAGCCTTAAACGTGAAGAGAAAGATTAGCCAATTATGTGTCCTACATGTTCCTTAGATTTCTCCATCAATTATTTTATTATATTAATTAATACTTGCTCAACCATTATCCGGTTTGTCCACATCATGGTTCTGATTGGTTCCTGAAATTGAAGGAGACTTTCCTAGTACAAATAAAAACTTAGTCAATACATTTTTTTTTATAATTATTTATTGGAGAATAACGTTAATGAAAATCTTATTTCCTACAAGATTCCATGTTTTATATTTGTATTCTTTAATTTTTTGCTAGTAGACTCGGGACAAGTCCTTATACATTTTTGCACGATTCAGTTTGATTTGAGTCGATAGAACGATGTGGACATTGTCGGACTATCCCATATATCTCAATCTACTTTATTCGTGTAGTAGGATTAAATTAAGGGGAATTTGGCCAGATGACCCACTTGGACAATGATTTTGGACAAATAGCCTTTGACCATCATTAAAATGGAATAAAAAAATTTAAAATGTTTTAATTGATAAAATGACAAAATTGTCCTTCAATTTATATCAAATCATTCACCCAACTTCTTTCATTTCACCTTCTTCTTTCTTCTTCCCTTTTCCTGTGAAACCCTATTCCCCAAACTTGAATTCCAAACCCATCTTCTTCACCTTAATTTTCACTATATTTCAATATTACAAAAAACTTTTCTTTGACTCTAGTTTATTTCACATTACTTTACCCTCTCTTTGGTACAAATTAAGACAACAAAAAAGGTAATTTTTTCTACGATTTTTTTTTCTTTTTTGTTATTTTAAAATGTGATTTTGTGCTTCCATTACTATAGTTTTATAATAAAAATTTGTGAAAATTGCATTTTTTTTATGATTTCGTGATTTATTTGTATATTTAGTTTAGTTTTAGCTGAGTTTTTTTAATGTGAATGGATTTTTGATACATTTGGGGTTTTGAAGATGATGGGTTAAAAAAAATTAATTTACTAGCATTGCTATAAATCGAAATTGTGATATGTAAATGTGCTTGTTCTTTGATATGCCTTGAAACTTAGAGAGTTGCATTAAGAATAATTTGATTTAAATAATTCGGCATTTTTAGGAAAATTCTTTATATTATGTTTTACTGTAATTCCTATTTTATGTGAGTTCTATTATTAAACTTTACACTTGTTGATTTCAGAATTTTTTCATATTATATTTTGCCTATTTTTACCACAGTACCCTTATTTGTAGATTGGAACTTCACCTACTAAATAATGTATATAAGTTTGCAATTTAAAAGGTTGTGTTTCCCCTTTGACTTTATTGAATCATTTTATTCTTTAGTTGCGTAAACGTTGTATCATTACGCCTACATTGATTATTACTTGATTTGACTTTGATTTACCTGTTGTTCCAAGAAAGAGAACTAGCATTGAAATCGTTTAAAAGTGGAAACACACTAATTTTGGTTGTGACAGATATGGCAGGTCATGGCCTTGATATTCCCTACATTGCTCACGTATCAACAAAGCCACCAGC